GCTGCCACTTACTGCCAGGACTCTGTGAGCCTCATCAGTTGTGGCATGGGCTTGCCAGGAAAAGAGTGAGTGTTTTGTTATTTCCAAGCTAATATGGGGCTTTCTTTGAATTATTGTTTTTTGAGCTGTAAGGAAAGGAGGCTTGTCACATGAGATACCTACTATCAGTACACAAATAACAGCAAGCCCATCATCGAATGGAAAATAATCGCCGCGGAAACCGAGTTGCGGAGCAGCCGGGAGGGATTATTACAGGGACTGGCAGTGGTGATGCTGTCAAGGAGCCTGTGTCAGCACTTCCATTACCATCCACCTGGTTTCAGCACAGCCCCCAAAGCAGGGCACAGGGCCACGAGGCTCCAGAGTGGGGTCATTTCTATTCAGAAGAGTTTCAGATCAACTGGCTTTGATTGGGTTTAAATGATGGAGTGTTTGAGAGGGAGAGAGCAGAAATAGGAGGGTGAGATGGAGGGAGACATCTCAAGGAGGGGGAGTTGGTACTCAGAGGAGCAGAAAAGAGTTTGAAATAGGAGAAATCACCTAGGAGTTGGGACTGAAGAGCTTCAGCTGCTCACAAGGAAGGACGGCATGGGGAAGCATAGGTGGCACCGCCTGTACCACCCATGGCAGCAGTTCCTGGGGAGGCACCTGACTGTGCATCAGTGCAGATGAGTAGTGGAGTTATAGACAATTTACTTCATTCATTTGGCAGTTTGCTGAGCTCCTGTGCAGTGAGCCCTCATGCCTTGTTCATGCCTTGTAAACTTTGCTCATTTAGAGACTTGGGAGCATTGTTTACTCTGTGCTGCATAGTGGTGAGGGGCTGTATACACCCCGTGCTGTCAGCACTGTTGGTGGGCTGGGTTCCTTGGTTTTTTAACTTAAATGCTCTCCAAAACAGTAGTTCGCATTCTGCTGGTGAGGGAAAGTTCTGCCTTCCAAGTGACACATTGCCACCCTGCAGTGCTGTCAGGGCACAGGTGCAGAGCAGGAGCAGGGATGACTTCATGGCTCCATGCCTATTCAATATCATGCTTGTGTCCCCAGAACCTGAGCCCAGCTCCCAGCCTGGAGCCCAGGTCCCATTACCAGCTGCTTTGCAGTGAATCAGACCTTTCCCAAAGAAATTATTTTGGCTCTGTACCAGTGTAACTGAATGAAGGATCCAGCCCTCTATCCCCAGTTGGGATCAGGAGGGTTTGGTCCAGTCCCTACCTGGGCTGGGATCCATTTGCAGATGCACTCTGAAAGAGGCTGTGGACAAATTCCTCCACACAGGGGTGCATCTGCGTATTGAGCACTCTGCTTTCAGAGCAGGAAATATTCGGTTTCAACACTTGGAGTTAAACATTTCCGCGGAGCCCAGGAGACCGTGCAAACAGCGGGAGCACCGAGGCTCTGCCTTTTCATCTCTCTGGCACCGGCGAGCGGGGGGTCGGCAGCAAGGGAAGCACGGCAGAGCCGCGCAGGGTAAACACTGGAGCCGAGCCTACCGAGTAACCAGAGAGTGAAGGGGAGAGAGAGGGGCAAAGAAAACAAAAACACAGCTGCCAAAAAACAAAAGCCTGAAAAGAGCCATTCAGTGTCTCCCAGGAGCGGGTTTGGCACAGGGCAGGGAAGGACAAGCAGGGAGCAGGCATAGGTCCCTCCCGCTCAGGCGTATGGGCCCTTTGTTTTGCCCGGGGCAAATCAATGCCCTCTACTCCTTCCAGAGGGGTAAGCACTTACACCCCAGCACGGTCTAGCCACACACATGATGCAGCATCCTTTGTTTGCTCCTGGATATCAGGATGTCCCCTCCTCTGGAGTGGAGAGGTGGGATGTATGCATCTCTCTCCACCCTGGCATTCACAAAGCCTAAGGATTTGCCATGCCCATCCTCTCCCTCTCTTCACAACCCAGCATCCTACACCATGGAGATGGGTACCACTGCCTGGAGCAAGACACCACAGCGTGGGTGTGTGCCAGGCTCTGGGCATGCTGCAGATGTGGATGCTGCTGATTTGGGGAGACGCATTCCAGGAGAAGCCTCTATTGCACTGCAGGCATGCAGCGTGTTCCAGAGACCTGGGGAGGCTTGCGTAGGTGTCCTCCTGGCACAGGAGAGGATCCCTCCTTTCTGCCTGTCAGTTGCACTTAGCTCTGCTCCTGTGAAAGTGCAGCTGTCAGCCCCCCTGGGCCAGGAGCCGGGGCTTCTTCTGTCTCCTGCTTTGCAATCTGTACGTCAGGACTTGGCTGTATGTCTGGGCTCCTATTCTCTTGCCCCTCTGGAAGCCCCTGTTTCAGTGCAAGCACCGGCCTCCCACACTTACCAGAGCAAGGGGATCTTCCCTGGCTGTCATGGGGATGTGGAGTGACAGCTGTCACATCCTTCCTTGGCACATATTCATCACTGTATCACTGGTGTAGCTGATGGGTAAGGCCAGTGCTGCTCATTTCTCCTGCTGGCCTGGGCTGGGGTTGGGAGTAGCTATGGGAGACAGCAAGGCTTCTTCCCATGGCCTGAGATCCCCCCTGGTTGCTCCAGCCATTGAAATCTGAAGTCGCCTCTGCTTAGGAACATGCACTCCATGGAAGAGTACCAGAGAACAAGCAGGGCATGAGGGCTGCATGGGGTGTGCAGGAGGTTGAATATCCTACCAGTCTGGTGTACCAGCTGGACTCCAGCAGGGGACCCTGGCTATGCATCCTGATCCAAGGCTGCCAGTCCCAGTTCTGTGGTCTGGGACAGTCCATCACCTCCTCCAGCAAAGAAACAGCTCTGGGCTCCCCGTAGAGCAGAGACACGGGGATGCTCAGCCTCTGCTCCACCCTTTGGTGCTGCTGAAAGCATCCCAGCCCCAGCAGCCAAAGCTGTGGATGGCAATGGGGACTCGTGGGCCCCATGCTGGTGGCCTGGGCCAGGAGCAGGGATGCAGTGCAGTAGGGCAGAGGGCAGCCTGTTTACCCATCCATCTGCACACCCCACAGCGGGGATCCAGCAGGATTTCCCGTCCACTCAAAGGCTGCCTGTTTATTTTGGGAGGGAGACTCAGACAGCTCCATTGTTTTGCTGTGAAGTTGGGGTTATAAATAGCAGGTGGTCGGGGACGCTCCTGGGCTATTTTGGGCCCCCACTAGACAAAAGTGGAAAAGCTCCAAGAGGAAGGTGGAATTACTGAAATGCCGACCTTTCCCGCAAGGGTCAGCAGGAGCTGGGTGTTTGGGTTTGAGTTGGATTCTGGGCATTATTGAAACATGAAGGAAGGAGAGAGGAAGATGTTCCAAATTGCATGGGCTGCATGCTGCCAAAAAACAGTGTGTCCTCCCTGGCAAAAGGGTGGTGGGAATGAGGGGCCAAGGCACCTGAGACCTGTGAGCCTCTGGGAGTGGCCAAAGTCCGGAGGAGGGACCAGCAGGGTTTTCCTCCTGGCTCTACAAACGGGAGAGTTCCTAGAGGAAAAGGAAGCTGGGAAGGTAGGGAATGCACCCTAGCACTGGCCTGCCCCAACTTGCCCCTTATGCCTCAGTTTCTCGCATCTCCTATAGAGGTGCTGAAGGAAAGGGCAAGTAATATCCCAGTGATAGCCCTGCTTCCACCAGGCACATACACTTTGTCCTGCTGGAGGGCAAAGATAAGCCAAGGTGACTCTCAAACTTATTTCAGACCCTTTCTCTTGTTAAATGCTTGTGCCAGGCAGTTATACAGGGAGAAAGAGGGACCCAGTAAAGCTGCTCACACCCTTTGAGAAGGTCTATTCCTTTAATGGGGATTCATTTAACTGGATTCCGCCATCATTTAGGAACCATAAAATGGCACCTTTTGGCTCCTGATTGGAAGGCCACATTGCAGGCAGCCCCCTGGTATCCAGCACCGGCTGCTTTATTGTGCATTTCTGCTTCTGACTAGGATTTAGCCAATTTGATCCATGTCTAATGCATAAATAAATAATCCAGCAGGAGGGTTCATGTTGGATGACAACAGGCAGCTATAAAGCACGTTTCTCTCTGCCAGAGCCATCTGAGCCGGGCTCCGCACGCCCTCTCATGAGCAGAGCTGCTAGTACAGCTGGGAGAGGGGGCCTGGGGACCCGCGGGCTTCCCTCTTTTATGGGAACTTCATTGTTTGTTTTAGAGTTTTATTTTATGTTAAATAGACGCTGTATATTCCTTACAGAGGGGGCAGTAAAGTTTCTGAGCTGGAAGAAATTGACTTCAGAGCAGGGAGTGAACCAGGGAGATATGGCTGGGCAGGGAAGCAGAAGACAGGATTGAAAGTAAGGAGAGTATGAAGAAATGTGTTGCTTGCAGATCTGCCCCAGAGACTCAACCCAGCTGGGGATTAAGGTACACAGGCTGCCCCAAATCTCACCCAGGGGTGATACAGCCCCAGGGGGCCCAGAAATCCAGCAGCTGTGGGGGTCTAGAGCTGCTGGTGATGCAGGGAGGACAAGGGGCCCTGGGCCAGGGTGAGCAGTCCTGGGTGACATCTAGACCTGCTCCCTAGCACATCCACAGCCTCACACCATGGGTTCTCCTCTGCCTTCCAACAATTGTGTGCCCATGGAGATTTACTCTGCCCTTCATAGGGAGGATCATTCTGACCCACCCAACTTCAGGAGTGTCAAGGAGGATGAAGATGGCTCTTTATAATGAGTTAATAGGAACAGTGAGCAGCGTCGTGTCATCCATCTACTTCAAGTTACATCACCTGAACCTCAAATGGGAAGCTGGGTTTGCACAGGGGGTCACTTCCAGAATGTGGCTGTTGCTGCTCTCCCTGTAAGACTGGAGGGCACACAGCCAAGCTTGGGATGCTCTCGTGTCAGTTGCTGTGCCACTGCAGAAGAGAGCCAATCCCTGTCCCAGGGACTGTAGGATGGGGAGAGAATTAGGGCTATACCATGAAAAAATCCCTGGATTTCAGTCCTGTGCTAGGGCAGGAACCAAAGAAGAGCACAGACGATGCTGATGGCAGCCGATCTGAGCTAAAGCTTTTTCCCTTATTTTCCTTCTCACAGGCAAAAAGAAAGCAACTTTGTTTGACAGCCAGGCTCCGATCTGCCCTATCTGCCAGGTCCTTCTTCGCCCTGGGGAGTTGCAGGAGCACATGGAGCAGGAGCTGGAGAAGCTCACACAGCTGAACATCAGGTAAGCAGCTCCCTGGGGTCCACCAGCATCCCTGGTGAACTGGCTGGGGCACCTGCATGTGGCAGAGAAGATGGTACCCACACCTACAAGATGTGGGTGAGACCTAGTGCTAGCCAGTGGGGCAGAAACATTTCCCTGGAGTTCACTGCAGTGGTAAAGTCAGGCAAAAATTCCTCCAGGACGTCACAGACATCCCTTTCCCTGGGGGCATGTGTTCAGTGAGCAGTTCCCATGTTGCTGACATCCCATGATGGAGCAACCCTGCAGCATTGGTGCATGCTGCTCCTCAGCTGCCTCGAGCTCCCTTCTGCTACCCCCAGTGCAAAAAAGTCACCTATTTAAAAAAAATAATTGCCTTTTAACTGCTAGCAGTTATTTAGGAAATGGCTGCAGCCAAGGGTTGGCAGATCCCTGCCCCTGCCTTAATAAAAGTCAGCAGCCTTGGGAAAGAGCGTGTTTATTTCAATTATTAATGAATTCTCCAGTCATTAAAAGGTGAGAAAAGGAATCAAACTGCCTACTAGAGGCAAAGTTACATCACCAGGTGGTGGGAGAGGAGGGGCATCGTGTGTGTCAGTGTGTGTGTGTGTGTGTCCCAGGGCGAGGGATGCACATGGCTGTGCACAGTGTAGAGGATGCAGAATCCATCCCTGCTTGGCTTGGATCTTCTTGGATTCAATGATAACCATTGCAGATGGAGGGAGCAGGAGGGAGCTTTAGTTAGAGAAGGAAGGAGAGACTTCCCAGAATGGATCTGGTTTGAGATATCCCAAATTCAGTACCCGCACCCTCAGGCTCAGACTCATGCCCCCCGTGTGTTGCACAGGAAGATAGGGAAGGGGGGAAGCAGGGAACAGGCAGCACATTTATCCCCTGCAACACCCAGTCCTCTTGCAAGTGTAATTTATGGTGTAATTTGGGCCACATCCAACTTAATAAAGGGCCACTGCAAATTAGTGAACAGGTTTAAATGAACAGAAGCAATTAGTGCTCAGAGGAGCCCATCAAAGAAGTTGGGCCAATATCAGAGTGAAACTGAAACTGCAAGCCAGGAGCAGAGGCTGGCTGGCGCGAAGTGGTGATGGGAAGGTGGCGTTTAATGGGAAAGGAAAGGAAACCCTAAATCATAAAGCGTGACAAGGGCCATTGTGGGCCAGCTGACAAATGAAAAAGAATGGCATTATTCCTTTAAATAACAGCAGCAGTTAGAGAGGAGACAGCTCTCCCTGGCTTGCCCTCACTTCCCTGGCCTGCTCCATTCAGCCACGCAGGCTGCAAGGAAGAATCAGAGGTCTTTATTAATTATTAAATAACGACTCCCTCCGTAGTGTGATAGATAACGTTCAATCTAGGCAATGGATTCAGGCGATGGAGGCTAATCTGTAACACAGCAGCTCCACAGAGGGATGGGCTCTCTCAGTCCCAGAGGAAACCAATGCAGGGACCAGGGGCAGCAGCAGGCAGGAAGGGCAGGAATAGTGGGCAGGATTAGCAGACAGCAGGGTGTGAGGGGTTGAAGTCCCATGCACTGCCCAGCCCCAGCAGGCAGCTCGCTATAGTGGGTTGCTCCGTTTCCCATTCCCCCACCTTTCCTGCCTGGAGAAGCCAGGAGCAAGAACACATCAACAAGAGAAGAGAGAAACTAATAATGATCTCAAATAACCCAATAAACATAAAAATAAAATGTAGGCCTATAAACGTGACGGGCACCGGCAGCCCTGGCTGCTCCCTGCCAATACTGACTTGTTACCGAAATGGCCGAGCAGCTGTTACTTATCAGTCTGATGGGGAGAAGCAAACCAGGGGGCTGCTTTCCAACGTTTTTTTTTTTTTTTTTTAAATTTAAAGAGGATGCAGCCAATCATGGCTTGTGGTGTTAAGTTTTAATAAACCTTAATGATTTGCAACAAAATCATAGATTTCCTGTGCTTGGGGTTAGGAAGGCCTGAGCCTACAGCACTGGAGGCTTGGTAGGCACTGGAACAACTCTCTGGAAAAGGGATTTCTCCAGGTGGCTACGGGAGCTTCTTGGGGCTGAAATACAAGGAAGCTGTAGGCACTACCTGGATGTCCCAGATCACCACAAGCAACTCACCCACTCCAACAAACCCCTTTCTCAGCTGGTGGGAATGGGTTTGCTATCCCCCAGAGACATGGATGGAGCTCTTTCTCCCAGTGGGCAGCACTGATGTGACCATCCTGGCCTCAGGACAGGGACGTCTCAAGGTCAACCCAGCTCAAGCATCATGCAGTAAGGCAGGAGAGCCATGCTGGCAACAGGGCAGCACCCACCCATGCCTAGGGAGTCCTGTGCATGTACCAGGGACAAAAACCAGCTGTTGGACCAGTGATGAACATCACTCAGGAGGATCCAACCCTGGCGCAGAGTCCAGCTTTCCCTTGAAAAAGCTATTTTGAGTGGGAATGAGGTACCTGGGTTTCTAGTTCTGCTGCCTTCTTGGTGTGTCCAGTCTCCCAAAGCACAGGGAGAGACCTGCTTGTGCTGCCCCACTGCTCCTCCACCCTGTGTGGGTCCAGCCGAGCCTTGTGCACAGCTCCACGCAGGGAAGCAAGGCTCTCTGAATGCAAATTTCATTTCTGAGCCACTGGCGCTGTTTCAAGAGCCGGCAGCCTCCGAGCCCTTTTTGGTGTTACATATGTAACAGCCTCATTGAACTTGACATGTCAAATTCAGGCCATTTGTGCAAAATCTCCCTTTAATAATACCGTTTCATTTCGCTCAAATGAGACTTGAATGCATGTAAAATGGAAAAGGATATTTAAGCGCTAACATTAGGCAGATGTCTTGCCAGAGGCCGATTGAATATATGAGATTTTGAAGTGCTTAACACGTTTTCGGTGCTCCTTCTTAGAATATGTCACCTGGCTTTCTTTTTTCTCCCCCTCTTTCCCTGCCCACCTGCCCCCCCTTTAAGTGAAGGGTATAAATTGAAAGAAAACAAAACTACAAGCCTTGGTTTTATGGGGTTTAACTCTTGCCAGGCAAGACTCTTGGTATTCCTCCTCCAAAGAGAAATTACCTTGGAGCTCACCTTTGCAGAACACAGGCTCAAAGCAGCAGAGAGTGGAAGGGGGTTGAGGGGTGGCCCCATGATGAGGGGCAGAAGGGATGCTCTCCTTGCTCTGCCTGTATGGTCAGAGAGCAAAAGGTGCCCATCTGAGCAGCTAAGTGCCACCCAAGGTAAAAATAAGAAATAATAACAAGCAACCCTTTGTATATGTCTATGCCCTGTGCTTCAGTCGGGCTGGCCGTGAATATTCCTGGTTTGTATCCATGAAGCTGATCTGAATGTGAATCCCCTATCCTCACTCAATGTATATTCACTTGTTTTACACCTTATCCGTGTTAAAGGCTCAAAATAAAGCACACTGAAATGTAAGACTTTCTGGAGCTGTCAGTGCCCCCAGCTCCAAGCTTCAGCTGGTGCTCTGGCTGCAGCTGCCTTTCCCCAGCCTAGAACTACCTAGAGAGTGCAGGTGGGCACAGCATTCTAGAGCAGCACCCAGGGGTGTCCCTCAGGACACACACACACACACACACACATGTCCCTGTGTGCATTGCTGTGTGTCACCCTGCAGTAAATACTGTGAGCAGAGGTGGCATTGTGCAGCGGGACCCTTAATCCCTGCCTGCTGTCCCCAGGCAGTGACTGAAGAGCACTGCTGATGGAGGGGAGGCTGGGTGGAGAAGAGCAAGTTTGGGGCTCTGGTTTTGAGTTTGAGGTGGGAGGAAATATGAATTTGAGTACAGAAGGAGGAAGTAAGAGCTGTAGAGCCTGCTTCAGCTGATGCTCCACAATGATTCTTCCTAGAGTTTGGGGAAGACACATTTATTGGCCACTTAATAAACCTTAGGAAGTCACATTACAAATATTACAGTTGCTGAGTTCAGCAGTTTGAAGGTTGGAAATGTGCCTTTGGATGCAGTGGTTTTAATAACATAACAATCTGTTCTTGAATATATAATGCTCCTTTAAAAAAAATATATTTGGGGGTGGTTTTATTTCACTGTGTGACAGCTGCCAGATTCTCCCCTGCATTACCAGCAGCAAACCTATGCTTCAGTGCTAGGATTTCATCTCCTCAGAATGGATGAGGTGTATCAGTGTAGCTGAGAGCTGTCCAGAGGGTGGAGCAGTGGGGGTGATGATGTTCTCAAAGTGCCCCATGGCTGAGCAAACTCTCCCCTCATTCACTTTTCTTTCTTTTTTCCTTTGCAATCAGTAATTATTCTGAGCATGTTTGTGTTACAAAGCCTATGCCCACCTGTTGGCTGCTCCCCTCCTGGGCCAGCAGCTCTCATTGCTCCTTGCCATTCTGCTGGGGGCATGGGGACACATCCCTGCACATCCAGCATCTCAGGAGCTACTGATTTCCCCTAATGACCTTTCTGTGTTTCCAGGAATAATTTCTCTTCTGCTTCTGTGATTACGAAGCATTTCCCAGAGCACAGAGGGCGCTGGGGTCTCGCACCTTGGTGTGAATGCAAAGTGCTGCAGGCTGTTTTCTGTGACCTCAAAGATGCTGTCACAAAGAACCAAATAGTGTCAGGCAAAGGAGGGCAGAGTAAGATGCAGTGGGAAGGCCTGTGTCAAAGCAGGTGAAGTGCCTAGATGAGGGATTTAGCTTGACTTTTGGAGCCAGCTTTGATTCATGTCAGAGGAAAAGAGCCAACCACAGGACTATAGTGCTCCAGCTCCTGCAGCAGCAATCAGTGCACCTCGGCCCAGACTTAAGTTTTCCTTTGGGTTCCATCTGAAGCTTCCTCTCCCTTGTTTGCACACATACTCTTTTCCTCTCACTGTTCTTAATCCTCTCTTCTTTTGCAGCTGGGGTAGAAGCATAAAGTGCTTCCTCAGTTCCTGGCACTGCACAGAGTTATCTTTACCTTGCTATGAGGAGCTTCAGCTCCAGCTTTCTTCATGGAGCGAGGCACAGCAGTAGATCTTCTCAGGGGACAGAGGCAGCTCTGGGCCCAG